TTGTAGAAGGAAAAGATTCACTTGTAGAAGGAAAAGATTCACTTGTAGAAGGAAAAGATTCAGTTGTATAATCAAAAGATTCATATGTATCAATAGGCATAGAATGGGTTTTGGTTCCTAACAATATTGCAATTGTTGTAAAGATGATTAATATATCTATTAAAGAAATTTATTGATTTCAAATCGTTGAAAATAAATTTAACCATACTCATAATTGTTCTTGAAAGGTAATTACACAGTTATTGAAAAATTTAATGATTTTTCGTCGATAGCTAATTGTTATTGAAATCGATAAAATGCTTAGAAACAAGGGGTTAATGAAGAATATGAGTTTACGACAAATTCAGAAAAGAAGAAAAGTCTGAAAAAAAAGACATTACAGATATAAGAGATATCAGGCGATATAAGTGGTATAGCAGTATAATGGTATAGGGCTATAAGCGGCACAATAGTATAAGTGATATAGCAATATACTCGTATAGTGTTATAAGCGCACATTGGTATTGTGATATAGCGTTATAGTGGGATGACGTTGTTAGCTGGATTGTAGATAAGAAAAGGCACAGACATATATGGAGTAGCAAGGCAATATATGGTTGTTCGCTTGGTAAATGCGGAAATCCAACTTGTCGAGTTGATAATACAAAATTTGAAAATGCAATGAAAATGATTCAACTAGATAAAGAAGAATTGGAACGTGTCGAATAAATTGATAATGATCATTTACTACTTTAATTATCTGAACTAAATGAATTAGCTACAACTATGAATAAAATGGCTATAATTGATTTAAGTATATTGACTACAGAGGATATCATGTATTTATTAATTGAAGCAACTGAACAGATTAATTTAATAAAAGAATAACGGACATGTATGATATAATTCTTTTCAAAATTAGCTGCTTAAACTCATATCACTCAGCAAGTAAGGAAATTTTAATTTTCTCTATCATTATGTTTTTCTTATAGATAAGTGTTAAAGATTTTGTTGATGTTATTCGACAACATGAAAAAGATAATTTATTGATTGATCCATTTGAATGTAGTTTTCATTGAAATTTTGGTACTTGCTACTACAACAATTGAAAATGGTGCACATTTATTATTTACTATAACTAAAACTTATTTATGTTGTATCAAGTAAACATATGATTAATCAAATTACAGGTAATGGTAAAATGTTACTTTTACAAATAGATGAAGAACGCAATGTTCAACTTCCGCCAGCATCTAATCATACATTGATTACTTCACTCAAAATAACTCACTTACCACAAGAACGACATACACTTTACCTTCAGAAATACATAATCATCAGACTACATATACAGCTTATATTAATAATTTGGTGACATTTGAACTTGAAGACACTGTTGGTTAAATAAATATATTTAGATAATTGGAAACAAGTTGTTGATTATATGTAAAAGATTGTTTGAATATTTTAAACTTTTCTGTAGATGTTTTAATCAAAGTTTATGATTTTAAATAATAGAAAATAAAGCCACTATATATAGTGACACTTTTGAAAATTAAATTATTTTAAAGAAATGATTTTATTGGATAATGATTATTGAAATTCTTTCAATTTTAATCAGAGGTAGTCAATAGGTATCTATTGATCTTATTTTCGCAATAAGTTTTAGAATGCTTTTTGAATTTATAAAGAAGTATGTGACATAATAGCAAAGTCTTCTATTGGATACATATCAAAGAAAGTTTCACGACAAATTACAGGGTGACCAGAAAGATATACAACAATTGTTTTTAATTATAACTTTTTATTATGACAATTTTTATTTTTTAAACTTGAGTGATTTTTGTTGACAAAATACAGAGGTTTAAAAATAAAACGGACAAGGTTAGTGAGAACCTTTGCTAAGTATCACTATTAGCCTCAACAAGAAAATTTTACTTGGTCACAATTAGGAAAAGAAAACAATACACTTACCATAGGTTCACACTAATCTCATCCGTATGGATTTGGAGCGTGAGCATGCCTTTATCTTTGGTTAAAAAGAATCAGCTTATTTGCTGGAGTCGTAATGGAAATATTCACTTTTGTTTGCCGATAAAGTGACTTTTGCACTATCTTGTATATTGTTTTTTTCCTACTTGTGATCAAGTAAAATTTTCTTGTTGAGGCCAATAGTGATACTTAGCAAAGGTTCTCACTAACCTTGTCTGTATTATTTTTAAACCTCTGTATTTTGTCAACAAAAATAACACAAGTTTAAAAAAATAAAAATTGTCATAAGAAAAAGTTATAATTAAAAACAATTGTTGTATACCTTTCTGGTCACCCTGTATTTTTATGGAACTCACATATATTTTTTTGGAATGGAAATAGTGAATGCAAGTTTTAAATGATAGTTTTGCGGCTCCGAGCCATCCATCACCTTCATTACCAACGAGGTCAAAGTTCATTGAAGACGTTTCCATACCAGTCGAGGATAACTAGCACTAGACTTTTTCCACCGAGTACTGCTTAACGGCATTAACAACAAGCCTCACACTATTCTAGAAAATTCTAGGACATTATAAAACTTTCGTTGAAATAGGAATGGCTAGAAGGCATTCTAAATACGTAGTGTAGTTGCTGGTTTTTTTTTGCATTACTTAACAATTATATTCAAGCTGTGAAAGATGATTGGTAGAGATGTAATGATTTGCCACAATGGTGATATGATCAATAAAAAAAAAAGTGAATTAATCAAGTTATAACTTTAGAGAATAATCGATATCAGTATTTCTGTACTTATTGAGATGTATGATTGTGCATTGAAATCTACTGTAAATATAATGGATATGTACAAAAGACTTATTTGCCAATTAAATCAATGGTTAGAATAATAATGATAATGATAAATTAAGAAAAAGAAAAATGACGAGCAAATAAGCAACAATAAGAAAAAGAAAAAATAGAACGGTAGTAGAAAGACGAAAAAAAATTTTGTATGAAATGTACAAATAAATTCGACAGATCGTTTTCCTAGTGATCGATTATTGTTGGAAAACAACTAAAGTCTACTAGAGATTTTTTACTTTACCTATATTTTATATGTATAATGAGCCTACTAAAGAATACATATGGATTCCACATTCGAGTCCCAAAGTGAATGTACTGACACACTTTTTTAATTTGGTTCAATAATGGATGTATGTTAACTTTAAAAACAAATCAGTAATGTACTCCTTTTTATTAAGAAAATAGCATTCATCCAAACTTTTCAATTATCAATCGTTTTATGAATGTCAATAGATACTAACTATTAACTTTTCTTGTATCAATTTGAGCTAAAAGTTGTTCATATTCTGTACGACGATTCTTCATACGTATAATATACTCATTTTGTTGGTCTTGCGCTAATTGAACGACTCGTGTTGATATCAAAATCGTATTGAACGGAAGTTGACGCAAATATGATGCTTGTTCATCATTTGTTTGTAAAATAAGTAAATTAACACTATTTATCTGATTGATTATATATGCTGAAGAAGTATCACTGTAAGCTTTGCACATTGTATAGAGTGAATCAGCTTGTTGTTCTAGGTCTTCACTTGCTTTAATGAGCAAAATAAGGACAAGTTCTTTATCAAATGAATCTAAATGAAAATTATTGTTGCTTGAATCTTTGATAATATTAAGAAAATTTTGAATTAAACCCTAGAGAGAAAAGAAGAAGAATATAAACGAAATTTTGTCAGTCTTGAATAGAAATTCGAAATCTAGATGGATGTACGAATTTTTATTTTTCTTACATTTTGTATATGTTCAACTTGTGAAATAAGCATGTTAAAGAATAACATCATTTTATTCCATTGGACTTGAATTTTGTGGATTTGTGCAACAGAGTCGAGGAGAATGTTGATAATTTCTTGATCATCCTTCCTGGAAACAGCAGCAGTACCGTTAAGTGTAACACTTTGCTGTTTTGACTGAGCAATTTGTTGAATAATTTCAGTGTTACGCTTTTCACTTTTTTTCCCTTTTTTTAAATGTTTCGCTTTTAAAGCAGTGTTATCTTTTATTGTTGTAGCTGCACCTGGAGTGACACTCAGTATTCTTTGATTTGTATGATCTAATTTCGAGGCATATTCAGCTGTAAATAGAGAGGTAGCTTTTTCGGTTAAAATACGATTAGCTGATAAGACTGTTTGAAGACTACGATATTCTTTTGGTGGATTCTTTACACGTAGTCGATCATCTTTGTATGATCCTTCATTAAAAATAAGACCCCTATCGTTGTCTTGACTATTATGTGTTGATTTGATAATATGCGATTGTTTTTTGAGAGTGTTGCCCGTATGATTAGAATAAGTAGCTGCGCTCATTTCCAAAACTTCCGAAAGGAGTTCAGGTAAATAAAATAGTTTTTTAGTTATTGTTCGAGTATGTATAACACTTTCATTAGCTATTCGATTAATATTTTCTAAAATTTTTGGAAGCATGAGATCAGTAACCTTTGATGAATTTGAACTGAGTAATTGAATAGCTGTTCTGATATAACTTGATAATTGCTGAGCATTGAATTGAATAGGAATCATTGTAATGTGCATATTAAGAAGAGTTGAATAAGTTGTGTTTGATATTTGAGAAGAAATATTCGCATATAATAAAATCTCTTTAAAGTGATATATAACATTTTAATCTACAAAATTCGTTTTGATTAATGAACACTCAAATAATTGCTGCTCTAAATGAGTCGAGACCTTTTATATGTTGAAGACTTATAGATGATGGACGAATAAATGGAAAGTCACGTCTACTGGCATATACAACTAAACTATTTACATAATTGATTACAAGTGGCCCAGAAGTCAATAATCAATAATTCAGTCCATTCAATAGCGAGATTCTGTTGTTGGCCAAGCTGATCATTTAAAGTTAATTGATTAAAGTCATCACTGTCAGAGCGAAATAATGAACCTACAATATATTTATAAACTTCATTTTTATTTTAAGTTCACCATAGGATTTCTGATTATTTAAAAACAAAAACGCTCATTGAAAAGAAACAAGCCTAGTTACATTGCAACTCACCATCCAGTATAAAATCGTGACCTATTAATTGGGATGGAGATTCATTGTCGTCTGTTTGTGAAATGATATTGGATTCACTAGGATTCATAATCAAAGGCAAAATGTTTATATGAGCCTGTGATGGTTCATATACAACAGTTATCCATGCCAGTATAAGTACTAAAATTAAAGATATAAAAACAAGCTGTTAGCACAATCCCTGCAAGATTAAAATGTGAAATACGATGTAGCTGTTGTTGCTAATAAACAGAAGATTGCTTTATTCTATCTATTTTGGGACACATTTCTTCAACATCCTTTTACTTAATCATCTGGAAATGCAATAAGAAAGTAGTTCATATATCATAACGAGGTATTATTGATATACAGTCTTTGATCGTATATCAACAATGCCTGTCATGGTCTTGGAGGCAGAGAGAAGGCTGCAAATTTTTATCCTATATACATCAACATTTCTTTTAGATTATATTTCACAAAAAGCAGAATATTTAGATCTGGTTTAGTAATAGTAATAAAATATAAAACTATTTCAAAAATATAAATACTCACAGATGATAATCATTTTGTTGATTATTTAAATCAATATTATATTTAAAAGAACAATATTTTTAATAACCAAAACAAAATTTTATTATTTGCTTCTCATATAATAAAATAGAGACGATAACACATGTGTATGCAAGAGAAACTTATTCCCATCGAACAAGTCATTATCAGCTATATTGTCACTACGATTAAATTCATCTATATTTTTTCAAATAAAAAATCTATTAGAGTAGAGTGGGGTAATTGCAAACAGCTGTGTAAAATAGCGTTATTTTACATAGCTGTTTGCAATTACCCCACTCTTTCTGTGTATGTATGCAACTACCCCACTTGGGGTAAATGCATAAAATTTTACTATTTTTTTGATTTATTATTTTAACTACTGTTTTGTCTATTTAATGACTTTTACAGTAAGATTCTCACCGATTGTAGAGAATTACCAGCTCTATCTACCTGTCAAAAAATGACTAATCAATCTTGTATGGTTGATGAGAAAATCGATTTTTAGTGTCCCTATGTAAAATTGTTGGGAATTTGCAATTACCCCATCATACACAGCCGTTGTTTGCAATTACCCCACATGACAGAGATGGAACCGGTCTACCTTTTTTCAGACCGGTACCGGTGCGGATCTGGAGAAAGGTAGACCAGAGCGGACCGGCTGGTATACCGGTTTGACCGGTCTAAACCGGTCTGCCGATAGTGACAGGATACTGGTGATACGCCAGTTTATCAGGAAAACCCGACCTATCGATAAAATATCGATCTACAGACAACAGGCTGAAGCTTAAAATGAAATCTTGTGCAGTGAACTCTCTGGTGGGTTACCTTCGCACCTTGAATACAATCAGAGAGCAGGAAAGCGAAAAGTATAGACCCGTTTGGACCGGTAGACCCAAAATCCAGACCGGTATCGGACCGGACCGGACCGACCGGTAACCGGTACCGGTTCCATCTCTGCCACATGGGGTAATTGCAAAAATATTCTAGGTGCGTCTAGAAAAATCGGGATTGAACGACTTTGAACAGGTATTTCTTGATAATTTTTAGATGAGTTTGTAGAGAAGACATTGCCCTACAGGTGTAAAAAAAAACTAAAAAAAAATTCCAAAAATTGGCCGCGTTATGATAAGTACAAATGAAAAGAGTGATTTTTTGTTTGCAATTATCCCACTCTACTCTATCTAATGTCCGCGCCAGAATCAAACAACGCGGTGAGTGTAAGCTCAATAACCCGATCACGGCAATAGATAGTGACTTGCAGTTTTTACTAATACAAAAAAAAAAGAGAACTCCGGACGTCTTTTTGTCTGATACTATATAACACAAAATTATTTGACAATCTATCATTGTCGAAAAGTATACATAAAAATTATATTCTATTTTTGATTTTGACATGTGCTTTAGATCTATAATTCAAGAAACAATTCAGGTGATTATCTTCTCGCATCTCAATATTAAGCATACAAAATCACATAGATATTCAGTCAAATTTTATAGAGTTCTGCTGAGTTTTTATCAAAATTTCTTTGAAACAAAACACCATTTTCATGTATGTTTTTGAATTGTTTGCAAAGATGATGGATTTTAATATAATTTTGTTTTATATAGTATCAACACAAAAAAGACGTCAGGATTTCTTTTCTTTCGATTGGCGAAAATCGCAGATCGCTAACTGTTGCCATTGTCGAGTCATTGAGATTACACTTACCTCTTTTTAATTCTAGCACGAATATTAAAAAGAATTTTTTTTCAACAGATGTAGTATCTACATGAATCAATAGCAGTATGCACAAAACATTAAAAACAATTATTTCTTTCCTATCATAAATCATAATACGAGCAGACAAGTCGAATTTGCACATGACATTATTAGCGAGAAATTATAGTTCTTTTTTTGAATAATGATAATCTAAATTTTCAACATTATTTCACAAATAGCTTGTTTATTTTACATATTATCATTCAATCTTTGAGATCAATTTATAAAAAAAAAAAATTAACTCATTCAATTATTTTCAATTCAATATAATCACACATAACAGCATATTTTCTATATGGTATTTGCCATATTCTTAAACCAAAATAAACATGTGATAATTCATAAACAGTAATAATTCCCATTTGTTCTTCAAACCATTGAGAATTTCTTTCATTATTATCATTTCTACTATTATTAATAACATAATGTGAATCAAACCAATCTTGATCCCATTCAAATGAGCTCATAATACCAAATTCTGGTATACATGTAAATTCACCTGTAAATTGATCTTCATTATTTGGTTGTTCATAACGTAATAATTTTAATTTCATTCGACAAATAATTGCATATCGACCGGGTATAATCGATTGAAATTCTCCACGTGTTGCTGCTAACCATTTTGAATCAAGTATTGCAATAGAACCAAAATCACTTGTTATATCACTAATTCTATTTGGATGATGTGCATTACTTATTCTTGCTATATCAAAACAAACATATGTTTCAAATGCAAATGATAAACGTATTCGTTTTGATAAATAATAATAAATAAGTTTTGATAAAGTTGTTTTATTTTGATAATGAATTAAATTACGAAATATATTTTCATCAATAGCCAATTTTAATTTTGATGAAAATTTTGGTATATAAAATTTTGCTCGTTTAGCAGCTGCAAAACCTTTCATATTACCATTTTGTGCACCAGTTACAATAAGATTCCAACCATTACGTAAAATTGCTGATGGTAATTGTGAATATTGTTTTTCAAATTCAATTAAATATTTATCTGATAAACATAAATCATCATAACTATTTTTATTTGAAAATATTTCATCACAATAACGTTTTAATAATATTGAACCATAACGTATTCGAATTAAATGTCTCCAAAAGAAATCTTCTTCCAGAATATTATATAAATTATGATTTGTTCTTAATAAATGAATAATATCAGTTAGTTCTGGTAAATATTCACAGATTGAATACCATACTATATCAGGGAGAGTAGTCCAGTCGAAACTCATTATGCTAGATTATTCTTCGTTTTTTTTTATCGTCTATCATTTTCCAGATACATATATATATATACATATTAGTTTACTAATATTCTTTTAGTAAGTACAAACAGAACAAAAAAGAAAGAAGGAAAAAGAAGAAGAAGAAGAAGACAAGATTTGTTTTCTTATTCTTAGCAAAGTCAAAAGCATTCTTCGTTGGTTGGAGTATAATAACACGTTATTTGCGCTTTGTGCATGTCAGTGCGTACAAAACAATGTTCTACAGGTCGATAGATGTGGCTATGAATCGATTTATGCTACATAATATCATTTCGTTGACCATGATAAAAATATTTAAAATATATTATTTCACCAATTAATATTATTCCAAAAAATGTTATACCCAAGCTCATACCTATTTGTGCTGAACGAGTTGGTGGTGGTTCAGCTACTCAAAAACATTTTTTTTTCTAGATATGCAAAGAAATTTTTACCTTTTAAAAGTGTTCGCAAAGAACTGCTCGATGGTGTCGTGTCAGTCACATCACTAGAACTATCATTGTCATCAGTTTTCGTTGTATCAATATTGATAGTTGTTGTATCAGAAATTGTTTCTGATTCGACCGAGACGACTTTTCTATCAACTAAAAATAAAATAAAATAAGAATTGTTTTCATTGATCTCTTTCATTATTACTTATAATGTTAAATTCAATTGTATTAGTTAAAATTGTTGTACTTGCACTTTCATAAATAAGAGCAACATTCGCATGGATAGAAGTAATAAATATATAGAAAATCGTAATTCCAAAAAGATTCATTTTTTAACAAATAGAAAAAATAGAAAATGATAGTAATATTTAACAACACAAAAATATATCCAAGAAAATTTTC